TCCAAACTGCAGTCTCGGCCGTATTGGACGGTTAACTTTTCCCCCCTCCAAAATTAGTCAATCTACTGTTTTCTATGTACTGAGGCAATTCACAAAAAAGAGTTACCAGAATCCCTTAATCAAGCTTTGATAACTGTTCTGTTGAAACTTGGTAAAAATTCTGATTTATGTACCTAATACCACCCAATCTCATTGCTGAAAGATGATTGCATTACGTCTAGAGTGAGTCTTACCAAATTGAATCCAAATGGATCAGACCGGATTTATTAAGAATGTACATTAGGTCCTCTTTTGACAACATACGGAGGCTCTTGAATATCATATTCTTGGCAGAACAAGTAGACTCCCCAGTGATTGCACTTTATCTAGATGCAGAAAAATCTTCCAACTGAGTAGAATGGCAGTCTTGCAAAAAAAATTTTTAATTATTTACCAGAAGTTACCACAATTTACTTTGTCAAGAAGAACCAGGCAGGGGTGTCCTTTTTCTCCACTACATTTTGTATTGGCAGTAGAGACCCTGGCCATTGCAATACAGACAAATTAGTGAATCTTGGGTCTAGAAATAGGAGGAGCTGAACATATTATGTATTTCATTTTTTTTTTTAGAGTACCAATGTCAATAACAAATGTAGTGAAAGCCTATTTTGGAGATTTGCAATTTAGTTTCTCAACTCCAGAATTCAGCACTACATGTCAATGCATGTCAATCAGAGGTTGAAACAATGGCAGGATGCACCATTTCTCCACTAGCTTTTACCATGGCAATGGAAGTAATCATTAGGGCATCAATAGTGGGAGGAGAGCGCTTGGCTTCTGGGATGCGACTACCACCAATCAGAGCATATGGATGACTTGACAACCGTATAACAGTAGCCTGCACTAAGCGGTTATTGGGAATATTGATAATAACCGACAATATTGAATGGGCGCAAATCCAATTTAAGCCCTCTAAATCAAGGAGCATCTCAAAAGTTAAAGGAAAGGTAGTAGATAAAACACTCTTCATTAATGGTGAGGAAATACCAACAGTTAAGAGTTGGGAGATGGTACAATGGTGATCTAAAGGACACAGTTTGAGTGGGAGAAGTTAGACGACAAACAGTGGGTTGAAGAGTTGAAGAGCATAAACAGCTGTGGTCTACCAGGCAAACTAAAACTGGTGTTTTTAGTTTGGTCTACTGCCGAGTTTGCTGTGGCCACTGACTGTGTACGAGGTTTCTTTGACAACAGTGGATAAGCTGGAAGAGTTAAGTTCATACATCAGAAAATGGTTGTGAGTTCCATGCTGCCTCAGCAGAGTGGGACTTTATAATAAAAGGATATTGCAGCTGCTAGTCTCTGCTTTAACCGAGGAGTTTGAGTGCGCCAAAGTCAGACTGGAAATGACCTTAGTAGAGTCACGCGACAAAAGAATAAGGGAGTCAACACCTGTGTTAAAAACTGGTAGAAAATGGTCAGTAAAGAAATATGTGGTTGAGGCAAAGGCTGTGGATATCGTGGGACAGGTACAGCAGGGAAGAGGGGGTTTTGGGCTCAGTATAGCTCCTCCTAAATGGCACAAGGCAGGCCCAGCTCAAAGGAGGAAGCTGGTAATCAACGAGGTGCGAAAGCAGGAGGAGAGAATGCGGTGTATACAAGCAGGGAAAGTGGATGAGATGGGAGAGTGTGGAACAACGCAAGATGGGCCGACAAGACATTTGGTCAATGGAAGTAGGATCAGTTTCCTTATTAGGTCAACATATGATATTCTCCCATCACCACAGAACCTAAACTTCTGGGTAGGAGAGGATCCCTCTTGTCCTTTGTGTTCATCACCTGCCAAATTAAGGCACATTTTGACAGGATGTAAGGTCGGCTTAGCCGACCAAGGTCGGTTTACTTGGCGCCATGACCAAGTACTGCGATGTTTGGCTTTAGCATTGGAAGCCAAGCGTAACATGACCATTAAATTGCCACCTGTTCTTGCAAAACATTACACACAGAAGACAATATTCCTCCGCCCTGGCGAGCAACCACCAAGAAAAGGTGTTAAAACCAAATCTCGACCAGGACGACTGGAAGCTGCTAGGGATTGCTTTTGAATTCGCGGCCATTCAATATTAGTGGTTAACTTACCCAACAACCGATTGGTGCATTAAATTGCCACCTGTAGTGCAGGCTACTGTTGCAGGCTACTGCTGGCTGATCGTGATCAACGGCTTATTTTTCCACCTGAGATTGCGACCACTAACCTCCAACCGGATATTGTTTTGTGGGCTGGATCAGCATGCATTGTTCAACGCAAAGCATCTAAATCATTAGACAAAATATTTTATTAGGTCTTTAAACGCAAAGCTTCTGCGGAAAGAGTTTTTAGTGCGGCAGGTTCAAACTAGACGGACATTTAAGAGATACGGTATACAGTCATACCACTTATTACACAGCATTTTGCCACATAAATAATTATGGGGATAGGAGATATTGATTTGAGATAAAAAGGGTTTTAATATTGTATCTTTTTGTTATCTTATTACAGTGTACAAAACAATAGACACAAAATGGCAGCAGCAGCGAAAATGAGAGAGCAAATTCACGATACTGGATGAAATATTTAAGTAACTGTATGCACAAAATATGGATTTGACTGAGTTTTAAAAGTTTATTAGCTCACTGAACACAAAACTTCCACAAAGAAAAATCATTCCTAGCAAGTGTATAGTAATGCTAATTTCAGTAACCCGGTCCTGGATGAGCCTGTGTTATCTATTTGAGCGGTTGTTATCGGAGAATAACACACACTGCACTTCGGATTCTGACCAGAAATAGCTGACCATCCAGGTACGACTCAAGACTTTAGCGTTCCAGGTCAGTCACACCAAACTACCTGAGCGCAAGGAATTGTGGTAAGGAATTGTGGTAAACAAACAATTGTTGTTTTGTTTGGTTTTGCGGGCTATGATGTCAGAGCTCGACCTAGTTCGAGTTCATGGGTGGGAAGTCAGGGGTTTGACTGCAGTTCCAGTGTCTTTCACAGGTATAAGGTTGGAAAATGCCAATGTGTCTCTGAGCAAGACACTTAACCCCTAGTTGCTCCAGAGGCATGCAACCTCTGGCATATATAGCAATTGGCTTTATGCCCAGCTGCACTACTTCCTGAACTTCAGCCAGCTCCTTGTTTCCTGCCTGCCATTATTGGCCAAATTGATTAATTCAGGTGTGTCTGATTATTGTTGCCATGACTACTGAGGTCAAGCACACCTGAATTAATCAATTTGACCAATAATGGCAGACAGGAAACAAGGAGCTGGCTGAAGTTCAGGAAGTAGTGCAGCTGGGCATAAAGCCCATTGTTAGGCGCTTTGGATAAAAGCGTCAGCTAAATGAATAAATGTAAATGAAAAAACGCAGGTTACAGGTTGCCTGGAACGTGGCATATTTTCGAATACTATTTAGGACAGATATGCAAATTGGGATGCACCTCAATGTTTAAATTTAAGTTTAACCCTTGTTTAAACTTAAATTTAAAACATAAGTTTAAAACATATGCCATTTAACAAACTGCCAGATTTCTTACTTTATTTTAGGGCAGTGCAAATGAGAGCTGTATATGGATACAAAGAAACCCCCCTAGATAAGGCATTATTTATTCTCCAGACCTGTGTTGTGAAGAAGGTCAGCAATCCATAGGTTGGGGTTATAGATCAAGGAAAAATGTAAATGGCAATTGTCAATGTGCTTTTAATTAGGTAAATATAGGTGTAATATGTAGTAAATGACACTTATAAAACATGTTAAATTTGGAGCACATTGGAAATTGCATGCTTAAGTTACAACAACTGCCTTTTGCATGTGTATTATGTGTTAGCACTTAGCATTGTAGTATGTTGTTAGCATGTTTAATATTTGGTGGCACTCTTTTATATGTTTATTATGAGTCCATAACAGTGTTAAACATGTCCTTTCCTGTTGCCTGTAGGTCGCGCTATTGCTGTAACTAAATATTTTCATGTAGATGTGTTCAGGCCATGACTCTTATCAAACGTTTGAAGTTTGGGGCAGATGGGACATTGACTTTTTGAGTAACAAATTATAATTGTTTCTTTGAATTTGCATGCTTTATAATTATCTAAGCATTTCTAGCATGTTTTACAATGTTACAAGTATGTTGTTAGCATGTTTAGCTCTTGCTGGCACTTTTTTATGTTATTAAGAGTCCACAACAGTGTTACACTTGTCACTTCCGGTTGCCAGAAGGCGGCGCTGTGACTATTACTGAATATGAGCATGGACATGTGTTTAGGAGATAAGTCTTATCAAATGTGTGAAGTTTGGCACAGATGGGACATTGACTTTTTGAGTAAGAAATTATAATTGTTTCATTGAATTAGCTTGCTTTAGCTAAGCTTTGCTAGCATGTTTTAACATGTTTCTTGCGAGTTTAGAACTCAATGGCATTTTTAACATGGTCGACGGCATCAACGTGTAAAGCATGTCACTTCCTGTTGCCTGTAGGTGGTGTTGTGGCAGATTTTCAGTCTCAATTCAAATTATCAAAGTCTGGTTCAGGTCTTGAAGAAATTGCTCAGAGTCGAGGTCTTGGGTCTCAGAAAAGCAACTTTATTGAGCAGTTCAACAAAGTGAGATGACAGCTGGCCATCTGATCTTACAATGGTCTGCACACATTCTTATACCTTGTAGTACCCAATTAGCGCTTGAATCGTTATCATTTCTCTCTTTGCTCCTCCTTTTTACTCCTCCCAGATTAAAAACACCTGCGTCATCATTTTATTTTTAATTGGGGCAAACTTCTTTGCGCATGCATATCATTTCTTTTTACACAATGGGCTCCTTGTTTCAGTACGCTTTCCCAGTGGCACATTGTTACATTCTATACAATTTGTTTCTCTCCCAGTGCCTCCCAACACCTGCATCTGTGCTACAAGTGTTTTTTGGGTACTTTTCCACTCTCTCGTCCCTATCCTCATGTGCCCTAAGACCCTAGTTTTTTCTGCTTGGCATTACATCACATGCACGCTTCTTTCACATGCACAGCATGCTTCTTTCACATGTACAGCACTCTTCTTTCACATGTACATAGGACAAGCAGAATTCTCCAACATAGGCCCCCTTTGGGAATTTCTCTAGTCCCACACTCAATAATTGTGCCCAGGATGCATCTTTATGAGTCGGTCTTCTCTCCTTCTACCAATATGGTCAATATAGACCATTCACCTTTTACCAATCTAACCCACATCACATAGGTGCACCCTGGAGGAGAAGCAGGACCAAACATCTCCACCCTCCATTGACTAGAGTGGAGTAAAAGATCCTACCCTTCTTTTTACATCATCAGCTTAAGGGGCATGTTTCTTTGTGTTTGCCTGCATTTTTGAATCTTTATTTTGTCCCACGGTGCCAGAGGAACTTCGCAGGCGCTTCCGGTGGCCTGGAGTGCTATCTGGGTTGCTCCATCGTTGCCAGAGGTGCTCAAGTTACCTTGGAGCGCTATCTGGGGTTGGAGCAGACAGCGGGTTTTTAAACCACCAGTTGAGTCTGCCCTTGCCTTCTTTGACAATCGGTGACCGCGCTTCACGTATAGTTTCTCTATCTACTACACACATGTACATGTTCCATCCATGTAAAACATCACCATTCTCTTTTTTCTTTTTGTTATTGTCACGATTCAAAAGGAGAGGGAGAACTCAAATGCAGTATAAGGATTTATTTAACAAAAGAAAACAAAACACAAAGTAAAAACCCACAAGGGGGGAAAACCATAATTAAAGAAACATAAACAACACTGAATACTCAAAACACCACCAACTAGGAACACACAGACCAAACTAGGAAACATCTGACAATGAACCGACAAAGACTGTAAACAAAAGGAGGCTTATAAAGGGAACAAATCAAGAGGGAACAGGTGGAACAACTCAAACACTAATCAGGTAACGAGGGGGAGGGATCAGACAATGACACGAGCACACGGCCCAAAATAACAAAACACCCATGTGCAACACAAGACAGGACAGGCATGTGACATTACCCCCTCCCTACGGAGCGGCTACCAGACGCTCCATCAGGCGGGACGGGAGGGACAAATTGTTTAGTCCTGGGACACCTGGGCGAAACACAAAGTTCATCGGGCGGCCAGGACGAAACACAAAGTCCATCAGGCGGCCAGGGCGGAGCAGAGCCCTCGGGCGGCCAGGGCCCCTCAGGTGGCCAGGGTGGAGCAGACCTGTCGGGTGGCCAGGGCGGTGAAGACCCTTCAGGTGGCCAGGGCGGTGCAGACCCCTCGGGTGGCCAGGGCGGTGAAGACCCCTCGGGCAGCCAGGGCAGAGCAGATCTTTCAGGTGGCCAGGGCGGTGAAGACCCCTCGGGCGGCCAGGGCGGAGCAGATCTTTCAGGTGGCCAGGGCGGTGAAGACCCCTCGGGCGGCCAGGGCGGAGCAGATCTTTCAGGTGGCCAGGGCGGTGAAGACCCCTCGGGCGGCCAGGGCGGAGCAGATCTTTCAGGTGGCCAGGGCGGTGAAGACCCCTCGGGCGGCCAGGGCGGAGCAGATCTTTCAAGTGGCCAGGGCGGTGAAGACCCCTTGGGCGGCCAGGGCGGAGCAGATCTTTCAGGTGGCCAGGGCGGTGAAGACCCCTCGGGCGGCCAGGATGGAGCAGATCTTTCAGGTGGCCAGTGCGGTGCGGACCCCTCGGGCGGCCAGGGCAGAGCAGATACCTCAGGACCAGACACCGGCTCGGGAACAGGCGCCGGCTCAGGAACTGACACTAAAACAGACACAGTCACAAGAACAGACACAAACACAAACAAAAACGCTGGGTCCTGAACCAATATGAGCTCCGGCTCAGAGATCGGCTCAGGGACAGGGACAGGCTCAGGGACCGGCTCAGGGACCGGCTCAGGGACCGGCTCAGGGACAGGCAGCGGCTCAGGGACAGGCAGCGGCTCAGGGACAGGCAGCGGCTCAGGGACAGGCAGCGGCTCAGGGACAGGCACCGGCTCAGGGACAGGCACCGGCTCAGGGACAGGCACCGGCTCAGGGACAGGCACTGGCTCAGGGACAGGCACCGGCTCAGGGACAGGCAGCGGCTCAGGGACAGGCACCGGCTCAGGGACAGGCACCGGCTCAGGGACACCGGACACCGGCCTCTCCAATATCCGAGCCAGCCGCTCCAGATAGTCCCAGCTCAGGAAGGCAGACGGGACGTGAGCAGTCTCTCGCTGGGCAGGCGGGACGTGGTCAGTCTCTCGCTGGGCAGAGGGGACGTGGTCAGTCTCTCGCTGGGCAGACGGGACGTGAACGGTCTCTCGCAGGGCAGACGGGACGTGAACGGCCTCTCGTTGTGCAGATGAGAAGTGACCAGTCTCTGGATCGGTCTCCAGGAGAATGGCGGGCTGCTGAGGACCGGCTTCCGGACACTCAGGGAGGTTGGAGGTCTTTTCCCTACTCCGCCGTCTCTGATGGCGACGTGCCGACTTGGTGCTGGATGAGATCGTCGGTGGATGATCGAGGAGTGACCGAAGCGGAGAGTGGTTCCGGAGCTCACCTCTGGGACCTTCTCTCCTGCGACCTCCATGGTTCCCCGAAACCTTGGCCAAACGCTCCGACTCCTCCCTTTGACTGGCCATAAAAGCGAGAGCCTGAAAAATGTTCATTCTACCAGGTCCGTTGGAGGCCAGAGTCATTCCATCATGCATGATCCTGGAAAATTGAGTGGATCCAAAAGTTGCAATGGTATAGTCCGGGAAGTCCAAGAGATCGTCATCCATGCAATCATCAACCTGCATCTCTGCCCCAGTGTGCCATCCATACTGCTGAGTTCTCCAAATTGGTCGGTTCATTCTGTCACGATTCAAAAGGAGAGGGAGAACTCAAATGCAGTATAAGGATTTATTTAACAAAACAAAACAAAACACAAAGTAAAAACCCACAAGGGGGGAAAACCATAATTAAAGAAACATGAACAACACTGAATACTCAAAACACCACCAACTAGGAACACACAGAGCAAACTAGGAAACATCTGACAATGAACCGACAAAGACTGTAAACAAAAGGAGGCTTATAAAGGGAACAAATCAAGAGGGAACAGGTGGAACAACTCAAACACTAATCAGGTAACGAGGGGAGGGATCAGACAATGACACGAGCACACGGCCCAAAATAACAAAACACCCATGTGCAACACAAGACAGGACAGGCATGTGACAGTTATACACTTCTACACACTATTTTCAGGAGTATAAATTTTATATATATAAAAAAAAAATGACAATGAAAACATTTTCATCTCAATCCCTCATACTGCATCATTTCTTTAAAGTAAGAACTTACTTTTAATCTCTTCTTACATTCCTTCTAATCTTTTTCCTTCATTCTTTCATTTTCATAACACACTTTTTATGAATATACTCAAAAGGTGGTATATACCGTGACGTAAAGTGAGTAGTAATAATAAAACATTCTTGACTTCTCATTTTTTCTGGCTGCATTATCTCGTACCACGGACAATGACCTGTTTCAGACCTTCTAACATCCCCTTACATTCACATATTTATAGTTGTGACAGTTGGTGTGATTATAGAAAAAATATTTCGTGTGGATTACATAAGCATGCTATATAGAAACATATTATATGAGTGTAAATATTCCCGGAAAGACAGCCCTTATACAAAATCAAAGGAATGTAGAAAAAAAACCCTCTATCTAACTGCCTACTCTACCCATGCACTAAATGTTCTAACTAATTTTATCAATAGCGTCTGGCTGCAGACAAGTGACGTCACTTGCACTCTCGGACTTGCACGCTCAGACACGAGCGCTTCCTCTGCTATGGAGTCAAAGTAGGGCCATATATATCTGCAAAATAAAACAATGTTTCGCAAAAAAAATATATGTTTTGCAAATAAAAACAAATGTTTTGCAAAAAAAAATATATGTTTTGCAAATAAAAAAAATGTGGTGCAAATAAAAGTAGAGTATTGAGGAAAAAATTATTTTTTGCAAGTAAAAAAAATAATTGCAAAAGAAAAGTTGACCAATGGGGGAAAAAATAAAGTTTAGCAAAGTAAAACTTTAGCAGCATTGACTTTGCAACACATACTTCCCTTTGCGCCGCTCCTTTAAATCCGCGTTTCAGTCATCCGTGCCTCTGCGGCGCACGCTTTGCTTTACGCTTCCTTTTTCTTTGCACCTCGCTTTGTGTCCCTGGTTTGACGTGGGGCGGGGTCAAGAGGTTGGGGTGTGTACAACATAGACATCATATAGGTAGACGCCCTATCGACCGCTACTGCCTATTAGCACGGACGAGAATTGGAGCCGCCATCTTAAACCGGTCATCCGCTCCGCTCAGTGTAATCTGAATAGCAGGTGAAATGAGCTGTCAGCGCATTAAATTAATCATATCTCACTGAATACTGAACTGATTTTCACGGGGGTTTTTTGCTGCAAAGGTCATACATGTAGCTATGATACAGGACACATGGTTCGGCGTATTTTAATATCCATTGTAGGTTAACAGTAATATAATATTCTCATATAAGATATAAAGTGACCAGACACAATATATGTGATGAAGGATATAATGTATTTTATAATTTACACACTATAAATATAATAAAGAAGCAGAAACAGATAGTAGCAGTAAAGTAAGATATTTTAATAAGTTGAAGAAACAGTTTATGATTGACACACGCACATACACACGCACACACGAACAGACACACACACACACACACACACACACTCTCTCTCTCTCTCTCTCTCTCTCTCTCTCTCTCTCTCTCTCTCTCTCTCTCACACACACACACAGAACGCAGCCACCTGTAATAAAAATTGAGAAGAAGCTTTTCAACGTGTTTGCATCAGTAACGTTAATTTCTAAAAATTAAATTCGGACAACATTAAGCCTATACCTTTTTTATTGTATGTGGATGTAGGAGGGGAAAATGTCGAGACTAAAGCCCTATCGGATTAACTTTATAAGGGTAGATGGGGTAAGTTAATGTAATTTTACCACAGGACTTCTGTAATATCAATAGCCAAATCGCATGTGGTAAGATATAGGTTATCAATAAAACTAGAAGTTGGAGAGGTAACTCAATTTGCGCATCGCTGTCATGCGTGTAGGCTATATTACGTTGCTTTCTGATGTGCGCAAACACAAACCTATACAACAGGGCAGTTAAATGCTTATCTGACAACCTAGAAGCTCTTGTAATTATTACTTTAACAGTTACCCCACCTCTCCATGCCGAGTGAACACCGGCTGATGCAGTAAACAGCATTTCACAACGATTTCAGTACAGTAATAGCAAATATCCTTGCTCCTTCTCGATTATCTGGCAATATTCTATTCACAAAATACAACCAATAGTGCGGTAATGTTAAGACTTACTTGTGAAAAGCCCTATTTTCGGTGGCCCGGCGATTAGAACAGGAAAATGCTCCACAGTGCTCTGGCATCTTATCTGCTGCCACGCAACGAGACTAGGAAGACGACCGGCTCAAGATGGCGGCCGGATTTCTCGTTTTCCAGCGGCCAATAGGGTATCTAGTCTCTATATGATATCTATGCTTGTACACACCCCAACCTCTTGACCCCGCCCCCCACGTCAAATCAGGGACACAAAGCGAGGTGCAAAGAAAAAGGAAGCGCAAAGGAAAGCGTGCGCCGCAGAGGCACGGATGACTGAAACGCGGATTTAAAGGAGCGGCGCAAAGGTTGCAAAGTCAATGCTGCTGAAGTTTTACTTTGCTAAACTTTATTTTTCCCCCATTGGTTAACTTTTCTTTTGCAATTATTTTTTTTACTTGCAAAAAAGCATTTTTCGTCAATACTCTACTTTTATTTGCAAAACATTTTTTTTTTTTTTGCAAAACATATTTTTTTTTGTTGCAAAACATTTTTTTTATTTGCAAAACATATATATTTTTTGCAAAACATTTTTTTATTTGCAAAACATATTTTTTTTTTTGCAAAACATTGTTTTATTTTGCAGATATATATGACCCTATATTTACTCCATACTCTGCAAGTGACGTCAGACACGAGCGCTTCCTCTGCAAGTGACGTCACTTGCAAGCGACGTCTGCTCTACGGAACGCGATCGGGGCCAATAGTCTTTAAACGAAACGCGTGAATTGTGACCGCGGCGATTTTTTTTTTTACGTGTTTCTTTTGAACGCGTAGACACGCTCATTTTGGTCGTGTTAAGCCGTCATTTGTCATTTTGTTGGCAGTTTTTTTTTTTTTCAAATTGCTACACAAATTGCCACACTACAAGTGGAATTTGAGGCTCAATCAGTGAAACTATTCATGTACCCAATCTTTAGTCCATGTCTGCAAAAATACAAGGGCATTATATGCTTTGCTCTGTTTGTATTTGAAAATCAAACTTTTTGCAAAACTCTAAACACATTTCTCTACATTACACACATCATTCAAAGAGCTCTTGTTTCATTTGGGAAACACTGGCATTTAAATGCCACATTAATTTACGGATAACCTACAACCAAAAATCATGTGGGAAAAGACATGTACATAAATTGATCACTTAATCAAAACTCAGCTTTGAGAAAGAAATTATTTTTTTTACTATTTTTATTTATTTATTTTTAATTATTTTCAAGACATTTTGGACAATTTCATGCTCCCAACTTTGTGGGACCAGTTTGTAAATGAAAAACATCAAGTTGATGTATTGTTTTTTCTTTTTATTGTAAATGTCAATTTACAGTATACATACTGTGCAAAACAGACAAATACAAGGTACAAATAGACAATATATAAAAACACATTGGCACATTATTCACTTTGCTCTATAGTTTGACAGTTTACCTTTAATTTCATGACATCAACTACATGTTCAAGAAACATTTGCATGTCATTCATTACAGTAAAGATGAAGCAAAAGGGTTCCAGAGCATCGATTCTGTCCTGCGGAAACTCAGCCTTCTCCAATCTCTCAACGGCGTCTGCAACGTCTTGTTCCTATATAAAAACCATACAATTACAGCAGTAAACATTTGAAGTAGATCAAAACCTTTCATTAAAGATGTCCTAAAACCACAACAATACCCATTCTTTTTTTTTTTTTGACAATTTCAATTAACTTTTTGCATCCACTTTAAATGTTGACTACTACTTATAAAACCCATCAATATATAACCCAAAAAGATTTGCATATGTAAGGGAAAATCTGTGGAAGTGTAGGCTACATAAGATTGTAAGCATAAATTAAATTTGCATGTGCAAGAAAAGCTTTGTTAAAGGGATACTTCACCCAAAAATTAAAGTTTTATCGTCGTTTACTCACCATCAAGTTGTTCCAAACCTCTATTTGTTTATTTGTTCTGCTGAACACAAAGAAAGATATTTGAAAGAATGTTTTAATCAAACAGATCTTGATCCCCATTGACTTTCATAGTAGGATGGTAGTCAATGGGGATCAAGATCTGTTTAATTAAAACATTCTTCCAAATATCTTTCTTTGTGTTCAGCAGAACAAATAAACAAATAGAGGGTTGGAACAACGTGAGGGTGAGTAAACCACGATAGAACTTTAAATTTTGGGTGAACTATCCCTTTAAGGTGTAAATTGCATTTCAAGCTTAAGAAAAATAAGTTTAAAACAATTACTGTTTACACCTTTGCCATTTTTTGTGGCCCAAATATGGACAAAAGCATTGCACGTCTGTGAACACCCATTTGCAAGTGAAAACAACGGTTTAGAGAACTGTTTCAGAGCAGTACCCTCTTATGTTTATTTGAAGGAAAAATATGTAAAAATGTGCTTGTGCACCAATTACAGTCCAATGGTTTAATGCATCTACCTTGGAAAACAACTGCTTTTTTTAAATGGCCTTCCCAGTGTAGCTTTATTTTTTTCAGGGTGGTTGGCTTCAGAGAAGGGCATAAACTGCAGTGATACAAAGCGCAACATGATGTGCACTGTGGTACCAGGGGGCTTTCAGAAACTAAAATGACTGAATGGTGCATGATGCATCTGTAATGAAACCATTGATAATATTGATATTAGACTGTTGTACAGACGTGACGTCGAAACATGATCGAATATTGCATGTATTTTACACAACGTATTTTACTAAAAATGTTTTCACCGTAAAACAGGACGGGACGGCAAACTACAGTGGTTTCAACGTGTAAATCATGTAAAGCCAGTTTATATACAACTCTATTAATAAGTTTTCTTCATGTATTTAAGACCGTGAGTGGTTGGCTTGTTAGGCCTAACGTTATATTTGTGTAACAGAGATTAAAAATCGTGTAAAAGGTAAAATGTATTATTTATCACAGGCCTATAAAGCAAAGGCATATATTTAGGCCTATTGCGTTTATATTTAGGTATATGTGTGTGAAAATATACACATGAAGAGTTCAGATGCAAAAGCCTCTAAATGCCATTTGAAATTTTCTTCTTTAATGATGATTTTTATCAAACTTGTATATTTAAGTTCAGTAATTTCTCTTAAATGGCAATGATAATTGCCTATTAATTGTTATTTAAGTGAAATTACTAAACTTAAATATACAAGTTTGATAAAAATCATCATTAAAGGAGAAAATTTCAAATGTCATTTAGAGGCTTTTGCATCTGAACTTTTCATATATACTTATTACTTACAGAAACGATTTTTAACGACATTGGAATTGTTCCCAATCCGCCACGAGACACACTATGCGCCGTCGATTGCACGTGAGTTCACAGGTAGCGGAGAGCAGGTGTCGATTGCAAATGACGTCACTTGCAGCGGAAGCGCTCGTGTCTGAGCGTGCAAGTCTGACGTCACTTGCAGCGGAAGCGCTCGTGTCTGAGCGTGCAAGTCTGAGAGTGCAAGTCTGCAGCCAGACCCTTCTCAATTTTATCCCCAAAATCAAAATACACAGTGGGGCTATCTCCCTCTCTAACCATAAACAGAGTAAAAATGTAAAAAATAAAAAAGTAATAAGGTACCATCTTTCCATATGGTCTCAGTTAGTTACTTTACAGAAACTCGTCCAGCTCATCCAGGTCTGGGGCACTTGGGTGAATCTCTTCATTGACACATCCAATATCAACTCCTGATGGTCTCACTGATACATTGATCATTTGTTTGGCAGCTGCACTGGCCAGCATTGATCTGAGAAAAGGCACAACACAACAACACAACAGAAAGAAAACACCAACTGATACTGCTAATATTATTCCCACCTGAATGAGCCAGTCTTTCCAGGATGCAAATATTGAGTCAAGCTAATACCCAAAGCTCCTGTCTCTCCCCGCATTGGTAGCAACTTCCGGTCTTAATTCTTTTATCTTCTTCATGGCTCTAGTAAATGATCCATCCGGGGCTGTGCCCGCTTAGGAATAAAGGTACAACAGTCAGTTTCAAACATTACGCACACACCCCCTGTGTCTGCCAGGAGCCAATTCAGAGCTCGTCTATTCTGCAGGTCATTTTGCTTGTGGCTTTTAGTTGTTCTCCTAGAGCTTCGAGTACTTCATCCGTGTAATTAATACATCTCTGCTGATTGTAATGTATGTAATTAATCCATTCCATATTCTTATTTGGCGTTATCTATACAAAAATTAATTCAAGTCCTGCTGCTGCCTCGTCTCTAGCTTTAAACCCATATGGTATCCATCTTGGCTGTAACAATCCATCACTAGATGCTTGAAAGGTCCTTCTGGAATAGAGCCTATTGGGGTTGCTGTTCCTTTTCTGACATTATTTTTGCACAAATTTCACATTCATTTAAAAATTCATCTACCCTTGTCTGTAAGTATGGTGACCAAAATCCCTGTCTTTTTATCTTTCTTAACATTTCCCCCCTTGCACAGTGATCAAAAATGTCTGTGCGCATCAGGAATCAGGATGTTTAGTAGTGGTAATGGAGCTATCATAAGTCCTTCCATGGCAATCAAATCTATACACACCAATTCTGACATTGTTTAGAAATATTGCATTTGGCTATCATCAATCTTCTATTAAAATCATCTATCATCAACTTTCTTTTTTTTTCTCTTTTTCTACTTTTACTCACTTCCCCCCTTTGTGCGATGGTCAAAAAACCACGCACATCTTAAATTAAAAAAGGTTTGCCAGTGTAATTATTTTAATTCCCTTAATACCTAATTTGTCCAATCTAAAGTTGAGGGTGTTGCTGCCTTCTTTACTTATCTGATATAGAGTTAATTTTATATTCAATTATCTATCCTAAATTTCAAGGTATGAATATCACTAATACTAAATTGTTAATACAACTCTGATGACAAAAGCTACTGAATATTGTGGTGTAGGATTCTTCATGTGACAGTGTCTACGTCTGTGAACAACAAAGCTGGCCGACATCAGTTGCAATTTGATTGTGTTAAACACTGCTGTCATAAACCTCACATTTTTAATATATAATATAACAAATTATCTGGTAGGTCTGGACATGTTGCTGTTTAAAAGAACGGTTATCAGTTTATCTAATATAATTTGTCATTCATCTGTTAATTTAATTTCTCCGCGTAATCTTTTAAATTACTTTAGATCTCATTACAATCTCAAATTCATGACCCACAATATCAACATCGTACAATCCCCAGGTAATATCAAAATTTGTGATATCACGTGCTTATAATTTGTGTAGTAACTATTTTACTTCTCAACCAAAAAATGACTATTGACCAAGATAGAGTGACCAGCATCATAGCTCTATCATCCACATTTTTGTTGTTGGACACATTATGTCCCCCCTTTTTTTAAAAGAGAACTCACAATCACTCAAGCTTATACCACCTACCTTAAATGCAGAGCCCAAACATTCTCTGTTTAATGAACAAAATCTTAAATAATCAAATTATGCATTTACTCTTGTTGTTATTTTTTTAATTTTTTTTTATTAAGAATTTTCAAATAATACAAACATAAAAAAAAAAACAAAAAAAAACAACAACAATCAACAAACCCCAGGCGCTGCAAGTTGAGTAAATTGTACAATATACAAACATGTCAGTATTGCAAAGGAAAAAAATAAATAAAAAAAAATATATTTTTTTTTTTCAAAATAAAGTTATTCAGAATTTTAGTAGGAAGGATTGGAGAGGTTCCCAAAGTCTTCTGAATTCGTCCTGTTTGTGGTTGAGGTCATACGTTAATTTCTCCAAGGGGAGAAAGGCTGACAGCTGGGAAATCCACATAGAAATAGTAGGGACCTGGGGTGTAGACCATTTCAATAAAATACATTTCTTAGCCAGGAATATGAGAGTTGTAATCAGAGGTTTAAAGTCTGAGTCAAGCAGGTCAATAGGAATGTCATTCAGCAAGAAGAGTGAGGGAGAAAAAATGAAATGTTTTCCTGTTATCTCCTGTATTGCAGAGTGAACCCCCTTCCAGAATGGTTGAATAAGAACACAGGACCAAAATACATGAAACAAAGTGCCCTTACAAGTCTTGCATTTGAAACAGAGGTCGGAACAACCTGGAAACATTTTATGCAAACGAACAGGTGTAAAATAAATTCTATGAAAGAATTTAAAATTTTGCTCATGTATGGAAATCGAGGTGCATTTTGGAAAAATACCATCACAGATCCTGGTCCAATTGTCGGGGCTAAACTGAACTCCCAAGTCTCGTTCCCACAATGGCTTCAGAGAATCGTAAACTGAGGAGTCAGAGTAAGCTAGTAAAGACTAGCTAGTAGCTAGTAAGACATTATAGTTTCTTCCAATTCCGATAAATTGAATCGAAATTTATTTTGCTTTATAAGGGACTCTATAAAGTGCCGAATTTGTAGGTATTTAAAAAAGTCTTCAGAAGGTATATCAAACTCTGTTCTAATTTGTAAAAATGATTTCAGAGTTTCAGAGATAAACATTCCTGAAAAATCAGACAGACCTCTAAAACCCCAATCCAGCAGCCCGATGCTTCTAATCTGAGTGGGAAAGTCTGGGTTCAGAGCCAGGGGGGAGTGAATGGAGATATTTGGGGGAATGTTCAAATGTTTTTTCACATCCCTCCAAACAAGTAAAGTATTATGGACAATCATGTTGTCAGTGAGAGAGTTTAACTGAGTTATACTATTAATAAAGCACAGGGACTCTAAACTTCTTGGATGGCAAAATGAAGATTCGAAGTCAATCCATAAAGCATCCTGGCTTTTCTTAACCCAGCTTGTTATCATTTTGATCTGAGCAGCCCAGTAGTAAAACTGGAAATTAGGTAAGGAGAGACCCCCGAGTTCCCTTGGTTTACAAAGTTTAGAAAAACCAACTCTCTGTTGCTTACCGTTCCAAATGAAACGAGATATGTCCGAATTCAAAGATTAAAAAAACAAGGTTGCTAGGTAACATGGGAGATTCTGAAAAAGATAATTTAATCGGGGAAGTATGTTCATCTTAATAACATTAGCTTTCCCGAGAAGGGAAATTGGTAAAGGTGCCCACTTTTCTAAATCTTTTTTAACTTTTTGAGTTAAGGAAGTAAAATTTGTTTCAAACAAATTCTTCAAATTGGGGGTGAGGAAAATGCCCAAATATTTAAAGCCTTTTTTAGACACCTCGAAAGGAAATTGACTCAGAGATTCTTGGGAGTAATTAAACAACATAGAGATAGACTTTACGATATTGACTTTATAGCCTGACACAAAGCTGAACGAAGCCAGGGAATCCAAAACTACAGGAATGGAGGTCCGCAAATTCTCTAAATATAAAAGGACGTCATCTGCATACAGAGAGATTACATGTTTTTTCCCTCTGATAGTAATTCCAGATATATCAGGATTGGTCCTGATAGATTCTGCCAAGGGCTCAATAAATAACGTAAACAATAAGGGTGATAAGGGGCATCCCTGTCTGCAACCTCTTTGTACTGGAAAGGCTTCAGACATCAAGCTGTTCGTGTTGACGGAGGAGATACAGTCTGAGTAAAGAAACTTTATAATATTAATGAAATTAGAACTTAGTCCGAATTTTTCCAAAGCCATAAACAAGAAGGGCCACTCCACGCGATCAAAAGCCTTTTCGGCATCCAAAGATAGTATCATTGAAGACTTTTTTTGAGTACGAAAGTAGTATATAGCATTAAGAGCACGGCGAACATTATCTGAACCGTATCTGGATTTCACAAATCCTGCTTGATCAGGATCTATCACCTTGGGAAGAATAGGTTCCAATCTACGAGCTAAAACTTTTTTAATATCTTATAGTCCACGTTAAGCAGACTAATGGGCCTATAAGATGAACAGTCCAGAGGGTTTTTATCTTTTTTTAGGAGTAAACTAATTGAAGCTTGTCTCCAAGAAGGGGGAACTTCACCCTTCCAGATACCATTAATCGCAGGCATAAGAATCGGATGAATATTAGGCCAGAATTTTTTGAAAATTTCCAGTGGAAAACCATCTAGACCGGGACATTTCCCGTGCGGCATTGACTGAATTGCTGACCAGACCTCCTCTGCTGAAAACGGGGCACTTAAATTAATACGATCATCCTCTGAGCATACCGGTAACGTGATATTACTCAAAAAGGCAGCGATGTTAGAATCTGTTGCTTTTGATTCGGAACTATAAAGAGATTTATAGTATTCCTTAAAAGTATTGTTTATGATTAAAGGGTCACTCGAAGAGATACCACTTGTATTTCGTATCATATTAATTGACCGGTCATTATTCAGGTTTTTTAATTGGTATGCCAATAACCGACTAGATTTATTGCCAAATTCATAATACTTTTGTTTAGTGAAGAGCAGAAGCTTCTGAATATGCGAGGTATGGTCCATATTTAGCTTAGTTCTTGCATTCACCAAGGCTTTTAAGTTCGAGACAGTAGGAAATTGCTTATGTATTTGTTCCAATATGGTTACCTCTTCTTCAAGATTTTTCCTGTTACTGTCTTTGACTCTCTTAAGGTTGGAGGTGTAGGAAATTAGGTGACCGCGTAGAGTGGCTTTGGCTGCATCCCAGATCATGGCAGAGGACACTGGAGAATTTCTGTTATCCAGCCAATATTGAGACAGACTGTCTGAGACGAAGGCAGAGAAGGGATCATTGTTTAAAAGGGATGTATTAAACCTCCAGTTGGAAGTTCTAGGAATACTGAATGCAGGGTCAATTTGTAAACGCACAGCAGCGTGATCTGATAAAACGATGGGGTCAATATGACAAGACTGAACTGCATGAAGAATATTTTTAGGAAGAAAAAAATAGTCAAGCCTGGAATATGAATGGGCTATATGCACGCATAAGTTCCGCATTTGACGTAAGGATGCTCGTCCATTTCCGGTTGTGTAGATTAAAGCGGAGGAAAACCGGAGAAAACGGGATTATGGCAGAGTCTTCAATATTTACTGTCCTCCCGTCTTTGGAACGAAACGTACATACGTTTAGATGTAATTTTATATATAGTTATGTTTATTTAATATAATTTTAAAAAG